CATTCAAACCAACTGTAAAGCAAACAGAATCATCGATGTCTTTGCACAGACAAAGGTCACATGTCAGGTCAAATCTTTTGAATCAGACCTAAAACTGACTGGGATTAAAACTTCACACCACTGCTACATTTCTTGCATTTTTCAAATTTGACACCATCAGCTGTCTCTGCCTTTTTTTTGGACAGACAGATAATTGATGTCGCCTGGATTTGAATAATCCTCCCAAAATGCAAAGCAAATATTGTTCTCCAAGAATTATTGTTTCCCATGACAGACGTGACTTTAATCCTGCGTCTGCACATCACAGATATCATTTCCTGTAGCAGTGTCAGAGAAAAGTATCCATGAAGCTACAGTCATCTCCAGTTATTCTCATCTGGACTGTAGACCACAGAACATTTGGAGTATTTTTAGCGAGAATGGACCAACCTCCACCCTGACCTTCATCCCAGCCTCACTCATCTCTGTATCCTGCAGGATTGTATGTCTGGTGTCCCAGATGTGGAAAATCTCAGACCAAGAACCAAAGCCATTTATTTGGATGTTACAGTTAATGCTTCATCACCCTGCTCTGAACTGCTGCCCATTCAAACACCCCAGGACAAACAGAGACATAATCTGCTCTAAATTGTTAATATTTCTATGTATAATTTCAGTATCTAAAAACTACAAAGTACATTTGTGTTTTCAACAGCAACTGCAGCTGCACATAGAAGGTCATAAAGATATAAACAGCTTTAATGAAACAGTATCTGTCCAGGAATCGTACTTCACTCCCTTCTTCATTTCCTATTCATCCATTCTCTGGTCTCTGTGGAGTCTGAGGCCTGCAGCGGTGAAGCTCCACTCTCTTCTTCTCCTGCTCATCCTCACCAGCTGGCAGCCAACCAGACGCTGCTCCTTCAATGGCCTTTACTCCTGACACTAACTTGTTTTTTTTCTCCATTTCATTCATCTTGGAGCATTCCCTTTTTCTCCTATCCATCTCTGAGTCCTGTCTTTCCCGTCAGTCGTCTCTACTCTCCTCCTCTGCTTCACCTCTTGCCGTTCCTGTTCCCTGCACTTGCAGAAAACAACAGCTTCTGTACTAAAGTATTTAAAAATAGAAACCGCTGAAGAAGAGAACCATGGAGTCTTCAGCTCAAGTTACCTGAGAGAAACCCGAGAGGAACTGAGAGCAGCAGAGAAAAGGTCTTCCAAGGAAAGACAACTGTTGGTGGGAACCATTTTCTGCACCGAGTAAAAAAATACAATACAACACATCCAAGGCAGGGCAGTGATTCGCTGAAGTTATGTTCTGTGATTAAAACAATAATATCACAAAAGTCTTCAGAGGCGTCGCCATCTACAGGTTGTCATTACTACTATCAGTCCCAGTGTCTGAGGACATTAAAACAAATAAATGCATGTAGTTGTATCTGAAAAACTTTAAACATGAGTATTTGATGTACTTCAAGTCCTTAATGAAGGTAGAATGAGCCAAAAGGTTCACCTGAAAAAGTATATCTTTAATTTCTAAAAGAAAAATAAAGTCTTGTGAATAAGGAATAAACATGTTTTTTCCTAATAATATTGAAACATGGTACATTGTGCCTACTCGGAATGCACCTTCACTATACATTACGCCTGGATGTCTAAAGAAATCAGGACGATACTGACACCTACTGGAAACAAATCTCAACTACACCACCGTGTCACCAACATTGCAGAGGAAAGCTTAATCTCTTAGACATTACTGTCTTTGTGATCCAAAGTTCTAGGAATGCAAATCAAAAAAAAAAAAATTAAACTGGTCAATAATGGTAGGCTATTGAAAAAAAAAAAAGCTTTAAAATTTTCTGATGTTGTAGTGTTAGGACAGGAAGACTTTTGCCTTCAGACAGGATGAGCACACCGTTACCACCATCCTGGTCAGCCAGTCTCAAGTAGATCTGGGGGACATTTTCTAGTCTAGTGTCCGCAGCGTTCACACGCCTCTCTGCTTCCTCTTCTATCATTCAGCTGCTGATACCAGACACCATGGGCGGCACCAGGACCTCAGGCCTGGAGGAGACAACTGATACAGTGGTCTGGATGCTGCAGGGTAACACACCTGCAGTGTGTTCTTATTGTGATGTCATGATGGTTCCCTCTACTTTGACTTTGAATTGTGTTGTGTTAGCAATTTAAACAAATATTTACAGACTTTCAGGAAACACACGCTTTTGTTGCATAGTTAGCATGGAGATGCTGCCATGTTTGTACAGGGAGGTCAACAAAGTGAAGAGGTCAACAAAGTCAACAAAGTGAATCAACAAAGTGAAGAGGTCAACAAAGTGAAGAGGTCAACAAAGTGAAGAGGTCAACAAAGACTACTGCAGTTTTACATGTCAGGGTTGTACAGCACTGAGCACTGATGCTAACATCTACTTCATTTATTATGCATTAGTGGTGACCAGGAACAGAACAAAGTGTTTGCAGCCTCTCTGTTTTTAAAAGATCACCGCAATATTGTCTGTTTCACATCATATATTAATGAATAATTAAATATTAATGTGATTAATAAATTGTGAAAACAACGGCACCTTATTTTAGTCTTGAGGAAACTGGTTGTTGATTTATACTTTATTATACATACTTTACTTTAAATTACCAGACTTATTCTTTCTGGACACAAACATACAGTACTTCCTGGTTCACTGGGCTCACATATCCAGCAATAAAACAGTGTTTCTCAACCAGGGGGCCATGGCCCACAGTTCCCACAAGGTCACAAGTTCCAAAGACTCTAGATATAGCACTGTTATCCTGAGACATTGTTACAATACATCAGCCGTGTGTCAGTCAGGTGTTTAACAAGCTCCAGTAGACAGAAGTAAACACTGAGCCAGTAATCAAAGTATATGAAAAGAAAAAAAGATGAAGTTTTCCAAATCAACACAAAATGCTCAAGTACAATCCTGACATCAGTACAATTTTGTGAATCAGGGAACCAAGACAGAACTGAGAGCTCCATCTGACAGTGGTGAACCAGGTTGTCTTTGTTACCCTGACAGGACTGAGCCCGGTGTGACCTGCAGTGGTCAGCTCATGGTCAAGGGGGGGGGGGGTTCCCTGATGAAATCCATCTGGTAGGTCATAATGAAAGTTGAACAGGACGTACTTTCAATGCACCACCGCTGGATTTAGATGTAAAACAATCTGAATGTGTTCCTGATGTTAGAAACTTGATCTTTACAGGATATTTTGCCTAGATTGCATTAATAAAAGTCAGAGCAAATTAGTCTGGGTTTAAGCGTGATAAAAGAACTTAAGTTGTATGTATTAGCATTTTAACAAGTATTAAATGACACTGTTAAAGCTATCTATTAGCTGTTAGCTAACCTTATATACAGCTGTGAGTTACAGTATTAAAACATTACATTTATGGTGTTGTCTTAGTCTCTAGTGATACAAATTATAATTCAATACAATAGATACAATTCAAATTATCATTGTACTAGAATTAAATTATAATACTAACATTAAACAGTGTTGAAATAACTTAAATATGACAAAAGCAACTGTGTGTTTTAATGTACTTCAAATAAGTCTCAACCTTATTGACGTATCAAACTCTAGGCTAATGATCTGATACAGTATCATTAGGTTCTTAATATTTAGAGGTAATAATCATGGTCACACCTTCAGTCTGTCAGGAATAAAAAGTTGAGCAGCCTGTGGGTCTGAAGCTACAGGACTGGGCACACGACTGAAGAATTGCTGGTTCATATCCCAGCCCCTGCCGAGGTGTGTTTTATATATGGGTAAATGCAAAGGACATCTGTTGTTCTGCGATTATGTGAACATACAATGACAAAAAAACAGTAGCTGCTGATTCTTTAAAACAAAAACTTTGGGATTACACTCAGATCCAGGTCCAATTAAATTAAACTGTAGCCACACAAAGGGAAACTGAGAGAAAACACAACTACCGTTATCAGGGATATAAACAAAAGTGAGGTCAAAAACTATTCTCACATCAGTGACTACAGATTTACTGAATCTGTCAAATGAACTCAGACATGTTAACCTAACACACTGAGTGTAAGACGAGGACTTCTTCATTTCCACACCATCAGTCCATGTTAAAGCCCAGTGTAGAGACCATTACAGGCTTTGGTTAAGTGGATACAGAGTACAGGAAGTAAAGTAATGGCTGCTGCAAATATGAGGAGAAGGATTCAAGGGCCACCCTTGGCCCCTGCACCAGATTTTGAACAAACCTGGTCAAACAGAACCACTGTAGATGAAACACAAACTACTGATTTCTTAGTTTGAAAATAATCCGATTAGTTCATAAACTATAAGAGAGTTCTCTTGGGAGGTAAATAACAAGGTCACAGTGGAATGGACTGTGACAGGAAAACACAGCTTAGACACAGAGGTGTGTGTGTGTGTGTGTCCTCCACAAACACTATCTTCCTGTGGTCACCTCCCTCTCACTCAGATGTTCTGTAAACCTCATCTGCTCAGACGGACCAGCTCATCCTGCAGCACCAGGGCCTACCGTCCAAACAAGTCCAACTTTACAGCCACCCACATCCCTGCTCCTCCTCTGCAGTGACACTTGTCTACACCTCACACAGGCCTCTGCGGAGGCTCACGGACAGACCTGCTCCGCTCATACACTGGACTTTTGCTGCCCTTTATTCCTGATTTGCGCAGCGCAGCACAAATCCACCAAAACCGCAGCATCATCCACAGGATGCGCAGAGAGAGGCGGGGGCCCAGGAGTGCACCACCAGCAGGAGGAGTACTGCAGAGAGACGCTCACAGCCTACTGGACACCACTGGAGCTGCACAATCTACCTCCACCTTCATCTACTCCTCCTCTTCCACCTCCTTAACATCATCATCATCATCATCACCACCAGAGCAGAGCCAGAGCTGGGCCGGAGCCTGGACAGCACCCGGTGCGTCACTGCTCTGACCGTTTAAACTATGAGGAGGATTAAAGTAACAGTTCAGTGTCTCCTTACCCCGGTCCTCCTCCGCCGCTCCTCTTCCCGCTGCGGCTGCGTCAGCTCCGCAGAGACATTAGAAAACAAGCCGCATCCTCCTCCACCTCCTCCTCGGTGCTGGTGCCTTTACCGGAGCACTGACTCCACGGTTCCTGTCAATGCGGTGCTGCTCACTCTCTCGTTCTCTCTTTTTTCCTCGTCAGACTCTCTCTCTCCCTCTCTCTCTTATCCCGGTGTGCCGCTGCGCTTACACGCTGCATACGTCATCAGAGGTTGGCCGACAGGTGCTGTGCGGGAGGGGGAGAGCTGCCCAACATCTGGGCCGTATTTAACCATTTGGGGGGCAAAGACAAGACACTGGTGCCCCCAGGATAATTTAACAGGAGTGCCCAGATCTGCCCCCCTGAAACAACCCCTGGGGTGTTTGACCGATGTGTCCGAATCATTTAACCTACAATTAGTGTCAGTTCACCACACTGTTTATCCAGGTTGCCTGCAGATGTCGCTATTTAGATACAGAATTGCCCTCGCTTTTAGGGGTTAAAATAATTGAATGCCTGGCCAACGACAAACACACGATAATCTTCTACAGTATGACGCACAGCTTGTCAAATTGTGTAATCATGAACATGAACAGAGCACACACTACTCACACACACTTCAAGTCAAATCATGATAACATTAAAGATTAAACTACGTTGGCTTCGGCTTTTCTGTTGGTTTGAGTTGCAGCTTAGCTTCTCTGTATGGGCTTCACGTGTTTATGGCTGGGTTCTGTCACGACACTGGTTCTTACTGTTTAAGTTCACAAACATGCTCCCTTTGGATTAAATGGTGTTCCAACCAAGCAGCAGCACACCTGACTTGGCTCATTTAATCATCTAAGTCTTTAGACAGTTGATTGGTCAATCAGTGTGCTCTAAAAAAAGTACTTTTTATAATTAAAACGACACTCACCAAATTTCCGTGTCATACGTACATAAAAGTCCTGTGTAGTTTCCTCGGTTGTACAGATTACCCTTGCGTTGCAGTTCTAACAAGTCGTGTTCTGTCTCCATCTATGCTAATGCTAAAAGTCGAGTCTGTTCTGTCGTAGTTATTGTAATGACATTAAAAATTCTCTTCAAGTAACGTTGTCGTCATTAAGAGCCCACCACAACAAAAACAACAACATTATGGCATACGTCTTAAATAGCTTTAAGGCGGACAAGAAAACAAAAGTAATTCGACGGCAAGGAAATTAGTTTTCGCGCGTTCAAGTCGCTAAAGAAGCAATTTGCTACGTAGAACACGGTTCGAGACAATATAGACAGAAAAGATGAGCAGATAACGGACTCACCAGCAGATGTCAGTGTTCTGATTTTCTTTCTTTACCTCATGTAATTATGGTGTCTTTCTAGACTTCAATTTTCTACAACATATCTTACAAACCATTTTAAAGGTCTGAGAGAAGCTGGTGGTGATCCCATCTGAAGATAAAAGAGCTCCACGGACAAAAATACTCTTTTTACATGTATGTGTATAAACATATACATATATTCTAAAGTACTGTATGCTCTTATGTTTCCTATATTATAACTCAGAAATGTCATATGCAACGCTTTATTTTGTAATAACACACACATACTTACACAAACACTACTACTGTACACTGCATGAATGTGTGAGCTGCATGTTTTGAGCAGTGCCACAGATGATTCATTTATTTCCTGTTGGTACTGATCACTTGGAGTGTGGAGCTCGGTTCCAGCTGGCCCTCTCCCTGGAGTGGAGCCGTAAGTGTGTGTTGAGATGGGCAGACTGGTTAAAACATTTCCCACAGACATGACAACGGAACGGTTTCTCTCCGGTGTGAATGCGGTGGTGT